CCTTGAGAGATGTGTAAAAATTTAGTAAATTCTATACCCAAGAGAATTGAATAATTATATAATTCTAAAAAATAATTTGTATTAAATTAAAATGCTTGAAATTTTTCCATTTTTAAAAATTTCTATTTCTTTTTTTAATTTTATTTCTTTTATAATTAGAAGTATGTTATATAGATATAGTTTAATATTGTTTTTTATAAAAACATAAATCTTTTATGGTTTATATATTATTTTTTAGTGACTAATTTTATATTCCACCACTGTATATATCAACCATTTTTGTTTATATTTTTATATACTTCAAAAGATATAATAATAAAGGTTTTTTTGAAAAATTTGATATAAAAATGGTGTGTTTGAAAGATAAAAAGAATATATAATTTATTTTTTGATCAAAAAGTTATTTAGTGTTATTTTGATACATAATCAAGGTTTACTAAAGATATAATTAAGTATCATTATAAATTTTTGGTATACTTAAGTTCTCTAAAATCATTTGAAACTTTTAAATAGATAAATCAAACATAACAAGAGAAAATGATATAAAACGATCTAACAGTTATGAAACTTATAAATTAAATAAAAAGTGGAATGTGTGACATAATTTCTACAGTGTAAAATTTATACAATCATTTTTTATAATACTATAACATTAAATATTGTAAGACCTTTTACCATACAAAAGAGAATAAATAAAGATGTATATTATGAATTAAAATTTTCTGAGTCATTCTTTATCAAAAACAACAACAGATGGTGTTGTTGACATTTTAAAAATTAATTTTTAGTAATAAATTGTAATTTAGATCAAAACAATTAAAAAAATACTAAAGTATAGTGGTAATAAAAAATACAATCAATTCAAATAGTTTAAAAAATATTGCTTTAGTTTTTTTAAATATATATATATAGAATAATGGTTACATATATAAATGTTATTTTTAACAAAATCGAATATTTATAATTAAAAAACTAATAAATATTATAAAAACCGGTCGAAAATTTGAATTTTAAAGAAAGACTAATAAATTAAATTATTTAAATGATAAAATTTTAATTTTTACATTGTATAAAGAAGGTTGTTTTTAAATTAAATTATAAAATATCTTTTGTTCTTAAATTAACAATTTCATCGTAACATTTCTTTAAATTTAACAAAAAATCATTTTGTATAAAAAAGAAATATTAGACGAAAATTATCTTGTAAAAATAAAAAATTATTGATTTATTCATTTTAAAATAATCAAGTGTAATTTAAAATTAAAAAATGTTCAGGTTTCTCACCTCATTATTCGTCATGGACAATTTAAAAATGATTTTATGTTTAATTTCTTGTAAAAAACAGTTGTTTTTAGATAAAAATTTATAAAATTTTTTAAGGTACCAATCTTACACTAGAGACTGATCCTGTTGTATTATAATATATGAAGTATAGTTGTGTTTCATTTTTCAATGGTTTGCTTGTATTTATGTTACTACTTAGCAATATTTTGTTCGTTGTAACTAATTTAATTAATAATATATGTTTTTCGTCAAATTTAAGGTTAAAAATTTCTAAGAACAAAATTTAAATTAAAATATTTTTTAGAACAATATTTGAGTAATTTTTAAATTGTTGATATGGTGAATTAAAATGAAAAGAAGGTTGTCGGAGATAATTTCTTTGGCCTGAGAAATTAAAAAACATGTGCGGTTGATGGAAAAAATCATGTAAAAGGGAAACAGATATATAAATAAATATATTACCATACAGAAAACATGATAAAGAAATTATTAAACACTGGAAATTATTTATACAAGAGATTCTCAAGTTGAAAAATCCGTGATTAAAAAAAATTATATGACATAAAACAATAAAATAAAAAGAATTTATTTTTTTTCAAGTTATTCACTAATTTATCAATCTAAAGTTTTATTTTAGTAAGTTTTAATCTCAAATCTTTTCTTTTGACAATATCAATTATATTTCCATCATTAATTGCTAACACATTTATATAACTAAAAGCAGATTCAACAAGGTATGATGTCAAAAACATATTATTAAAGATTTAATTTCCTTAAAAAATATAAAATATGAATTTCTTATAATTTTATTACTTTAAAATTCAATTTTTGATTTTGAATAATAAAAATTTTCATGTTCAGTATTTTCCATCAAATCAATTAATTTTTCTTGAAATTAGGCAGAACTACTATAAATGTTTAAAGTAAAAGGATTTAGCATCCATTCTTAAATTTTAAGGTTTATTAAATCCTGGAGTCTACTTCAAATTTCAACTCTTAAATTTTACAAACATTTTGTAAAAGAACTGACTTCACCTTTACTAAAGGAAATTTTTCAAAATAATTACTCATATAATAATTTTTACAATTTATAAAATAATTTATAAATATTTCAATTCTTTTATAAAACTCCATTAAAGTAGACTTACAATCTATCATAGTAACAAAATTTCCTTACATTTTTAATAAAATCTCATTTAATTTGTTAAATAACCATATAAGTAAATAAATTGTGTTTTTATTATTTATTGTTAATAAAGCATTTGCATCTTGATTGTTACTACTTAAAAACGTAACTATAAAATCAAAAAGATTAATAAATCTTTCTAAACAGTTTCCTGTAGATAGTCATCTTATTTCTGTATTATAAAGAAGTCTTATAAAAAATTCATTCCTACCAATACAAAATTGTTTGAAAAGTCTATCTGATTTACTATTATGTTTAATATCATTAATTATTTTTATTACTAAATTTAATACAAAAAATATTTTTGTGTTTTCATTTTTTGAAATCAAATTGTGTCGATCTAAAATGTAATACATAAGAATTATACTAGGTATTATGCTTTTCAGTCTTGTAGTAAGTCTCTTATATAATTCTGTCATTGATCTTCTTTGTCTGTTGCAATTGATGTCATATTATTAATGTTTAAATTATTTATTTCAAACCACGTAATGATTGTATGAAAAATAGATTCTCCAATTGTATCAGTAATTAAATATTTACCAAATAAAAATTCTTCATTAATTTATCTATTAAATCAATATGCCTTATATAAACTGACAATAAAGCTCTATTATCAATTATAACACTTTCATCAACATGTATTGAAAAAATTGTTTGATTTAGAATTTAAATTATTTGGTCTTTTATATTTAATACCATATCATCAATACGTCTTTTAATGGTATCATTTCTGAGACTAGGTGAGTTGATTGGTAAATCCTTTTTATTCAAATTTTTAGTAAATACTTCTAATACAGGTTTGATAAGATCTTCAACTGATATATATATATGGATAGATATTTTTGCTTATTAAATTTGTAATTTTATATGAAATTGTGATTAAATCAGTTTTTGTCGAATCAAATTCATTTTTTTTAAAAAAATCATTTTATTGTAAATACATTTCTTTCAATTCCGTAAAATAATCAATATTTTTATCCTTTTTTGTAAGATGTTTAATTTGAATATAATATTTTCTTTATTTGGTTTCATAAATTTATTGCTCAATTTTATATGACATATAAAACAAAAAGGCTCGTTTATATCGTCATCAGCACTTATAAATCTATATTTTATAAAGTAATCTTGATATTTTCTCAAAGATTTAGATTTTAAGAAAAAATGATCAGATATTAGGGATAAAATTTGAAGATAATTTTAATATTAAAATAAATATTATAAATGATTCAAGTTTTTTGATATTTAAAAATTTATATTTTTTGTTATATGTATAAACCTGAGAAGACTCTTTTTATTTTTTATTTAAAATTAAATATAGATTAAATATACATTACTTTATTTAGAATATCAAATTTTATATAAAATATTTCTTTCAATAGAGTCAATAAAATAATTATATTTTTAAAATAATTAAATCATTTTATATAAGATTAAATGTAAAGTTTTTGAAATATTAAAGACTTTATAAGAAAAAATTACATTTATAATTAGTTTCAAAATATTTTAATTAACAAAATATACTTTTTGATTAAAAAATTATGTTATAAACATAAGAATGTAATTTAGACATTAGAAAAGATATATATCATATCTTTCGGCTAGACTATATTTAATGTAGCGCTTTGAAATATTTAAAATAAAATATCCTTTGTGGACCATAATTTATTTATAAAATTTTCCGTTTATAGTTTTAAAAAAGAGGTGTTTCAAATTATGTTTTATAAA